GGTATATTTATTTTCAAATGGATTATTATTGATTTATTTGTCTATTTCTTTCTATCTTTTTTTACTATAATTTTTATTTTTTCTGCAGGAATACATCCCCACAGAGAAGGACATTCTCCACTGCCGCAAAGCCACCAAAGCAATCACAGAATTCACAATACCTATTCAAAATGTACCATTTCTCTTTGTGGATGTAGGAGGGCAGCGTACACAAAGACAAAAGTGGTTCCAGTGTTTTGAGAGTGTTACCTCAATAATTTTCTTAGCATCATCCTCAGAGTTCGACCAAAGGTTGTTGGAAGATAGGTAAGCATGAATTTACCCTTCACTGGTGTGGTATCCATTAGTCAGGATAAGCTCATTTAAATCATCTAGGATAAAAAAAACTAAATCATTAGTTGTTAAGTATTGTTTAACTTTTTTATATTTTGTGTATCAGTTGAGTATATTTATTGATACTGCTTTAGGTATAAGGATGTTCTGGAGTTTTGTCATGTCCCTGTCATGAATTTTTTTTGTAGAACTTTTAAATGAGAATCTAAATATTTATTGCAAACAGAGGGAAAAATAGATTTGGGTTTCAAACATTCTTTGTCAGTATTATATGTATTCTGGGTATGTTTTTTTTTCTCTCTCTCTTTTTCTTTTTTCTGGATTATAGAGTGATTCTTATTGTAATGTTTATTTGTAATAAGATTGTTTACTGTCACAGATCAGTTTATTATGATCAGTGGATATTTTAGAGATGTATATAATGAAATTTAATGATTCCATAAATGCATGATGAATAATGAAACATTTGGATTAAAACTTATCAGAATATGGCATCTACAAGTAAATATATCAAGAAACCTGGAAAAATAAAGTTAAAAATTAAAAGCATCCTAAATTTTGCTGTTATAACATTTATGCTTACTTGCACTTTTTTTTTTTATACAGGATCACAAATAGGTTAGAAGAATCGCTCAACATCTTTGGAACAATTGTGAACAATCGAAGTTTTCGTGACGTTTCCATCATTCTCTTCCTAAACAAAACTGATCTCCTTATTCAGAAAGTCAGATCAAGACAAAGCAACATTTCTCATTATTTTACAGATTTTGTGGTAAGTATTTCTTGTTTATCAGTTTCTGTTCCTCTCTTCTGTCTCTTCCCATTTACTTTTAGTCTTCTTGAATGTTGTTGTAAGACCCAGGCATTAACTGAATACTAGTCAGCATCCAAAAATAATGTAGATTGGATCAAATATGAAAAGGTCACATGTTGCTTGTTAGGTTGAATTTCATTCCTGTTATCCCTGTGAATATAAGGAAATTAGATGATGACCATGAAATTTTAATATTAGAAAGTAATTCTCTTGTGAATTCATGGGAGACCTCAGAATTAGTTGATATGGAAAGAGAGTCTCCTTGGACTACCTGAGCCTGTGTTTGGTATGCTTCCAAAATCGAATAACAGGAAAAAGCTCTATGATTCAGTGATTCCAATTATGCATCATCATCTTGGAAAGATTAATTAGAATTGATTTTGTAAATGCTGATTTCACAACCACTTGCTGAAATGGTCTTTCAATTTTTGGAGTCAATAACGAGTTCAGTATTAGAAATTTTTGTTTTCCAATAGAGGTAAAACGTGTTTTTTTTTTTTTTTTTTTTACATTTGAATTATATTGCCATACCACATTATGCTGGTCTCAGACATTACTGTATACTATCTGTAATTTTCTTATCCTTGTCATTTTTACTTATATTTGGAATTTACCTGTGTTTGCTTGAATGTTACATGTTAGTTAGAAATTTTAAAAACCGTCATAATTTTTTTTATAGATGTGCATATATGATAATACACATACATACATACATACATACATACATACATACATACATACATATATACATACATACATACATACACATACATACATACATACATACAAACATACACACATACACACATACATACACACATACACACATACACACATACGCACACACACACACACACCACACACACACACACACACACACACACACACACACACACACACACACATAAACTTACACAAACGCACACACCCATACATGCACATGCACGCACACACATACATGCACATGCACATGCACGTGCACACACACACACACACACACACACACACACACACACACACACACACACACACACACACACACACACACACACACACACAACACACACACACACACACACACACACACACACACACACACACACACACACACACACACCACACACCACACACACACACACACACACACATAGACGCACATAGACACATACACATACACGCACACACACATACATGCGCACACACACATGGACACACACAACACATATATGTACACAGATACATACATACATACATGTATACATACATACATATATATATATATATATATAATATATATATATATATATATATATATATATATATATATATACATACATACATATATACACACATACATATACATACATATGTATATATACATGCAGATATATACATACATATATACATGCAGATATATACATACATATGTATACATACAAATATATAGATGAATAGATAGATAGATATAAATATATAATGTATATATATTTATATATATAGATATATATATTATATATATATATATATATATATATATATATATATATATATATATTATATATATATATATATATATAGATATATATATATATGTGTGTGTGTGTGTGTGTGTTTTCTTTGACTCACATTATGACATTTTCATATGGTTATCTGATCTTACTCTTAGGAAAGACTGATCCATTTTAATGGATTCAGATTGTTATATAATTTGTTCATAATTGGGAAATTGGTGATTTATAGTTCATAGGATAAGATAGATGTCAGAAGTAGAGGTATGTTAAATGTGTGCTTGTTTTAGTGTAAATTTTATGACCTACAAGATATTTTAATAGAGAGGATGTTCTCATATTTACACAAAATTATCTGTTATAGCATTTTAATATCACATATTAACCATGAGTGATGCCATGCCCAAAGTGAGTTTTGTTTATTAACCCCTTGGATCTGGATGTTTCAGTGCCCACAACACAGACTTTATGCTTGCTTGAGTGGTCACTCCATGCCTCTCATCTTTGCAATAATATGTTTTCTTTTTCTGCTTTAGCAATTTAGCTTTTTTCCATAACTATATTTATCATCTGATTTGCTTTATCCAGATGGCAATAGACTGTTTTCCTTGCATAAATTCCATGTCATCTCAGTGCAGTAGTAATGATAATTTAAATTTAGTTATTTGTGTAATTTTCCTTGTGCTGCTAGTCATGGTGGGCAGGAATAGTATCTTAAGCATTCCTCCCTGGAGCCAGCACTTTTCTAGTCATAGCTCACAGATGGTACACTTCACACTCACTTATCGAGGGAAATAATGCAAAAGCCCCTCCCTAAATACCCATTAAGGCTAATCACCCTCCAAGAGCTTTGTGCACTCAGGGTGAGTCATTCTTGTTACCCCAACCCTCAGCCATATTTTCCAGTGGTCATGTCATGTGGATTGTAGGGGCTATTTGTCATTATATATAGTTAGCTCCATAAGTACTTAGGCACCAATGAGTCAATTACTAGTACTACCGATATCACCTGTTTCCTTGATTTTCTGAAATATTTTCTTTTATCTTATTTTGCTATTAGTAGTGTTAATAACATTATGATAATTCTGATATCTATAATGATTATAACAGCATCGAGATTGATAGTATTGGTCAGAAAACATTTTTAATGAAAATTCAAGGAAAGGTGAAGTCAAGTGAGGTCACGATATTTACTAATTGACTCCTTGCTGCCTGAGCATTTGTGAGCCATCTATGTGTAGAGACATTACACAATACTTCACTGAATAATACATTTTCCCAGCAGCATAGGGTTGAATACACACATGTCTGTGTATGTGTGTGTGTCTGCTTATGCTTACATGAGTTGAAGAGTATTAGGGAGTTGAGCAGGAGTTAAAATGCATAAGATGATACTTAGTAAATCTGTTGTCCTAGTATTATTGAAAAATTTATATATATAATCTCTCTTTTGAATGTTGAATCATTTTTTAACTCACAGGGCAACCCACATGATGAAAGAGATGTCCAGCAGTTTATCTTGCACAAGTTTGTGGAACAACGGCGAGCAGATAACAATCGACGGCCACTGTTTCACCATTTTACAACAGCTGTTGATACTGAAAACATAAAAGTTGTCTTTAACTCTGTGAAGGACACCATTCTCCAACGCAATTTGGAAACACTTATGCTCCAGTGAAAAGTAGGAAGAGTTAGCTGTAAGGCCACATCTTAGCACAGTTCACAAAACAGACTACTTACTGTAACAAGCTCAAAATGATTATTTGAGTATTTAAGAATGGTTATGACCAAATGTCATTTTTGTAAGAATTGATATAGTTATAGCAGATTCATTCAGACATTTATGGGTGCATGTTTCTGGAGATAAACTTAGATCAGCTGAAGTGGCTGAACACAAATGCAAGGCAGTAAAAAGTTCAGTTAAATGAGCTCTAGAGTCTTAATACTGTGACTAGATCTAAAGAGTACCTAATGTGATAGTAGAAGACCCTAATATTGACTTAGGAAATAAGGAAGGATCCCTTTTATACTGTACCATTGATGTCTTGTGGTTGAGTTACCTTCCCCCTCCATTCAGTTGTTTCTTTTTGTTTTGTTTTTCATAAGAAGGTAGTGTCTGTAAGTACAATGCTCAAAGCTTAAATAAAAAGACCCATTTTTCACATAACTTATGTCATAAGTCTTTGATTGTAGTTAATATGAAAGAAAATATTAGCAGAACCTGGGGAATGCCAGCTGTAAGGATATTAGCATTTTCCAGCCTTGTGGATTTTAGTCCTGTTATTGACCAGATGTAAGACTACCACATCCTTTGCTTGAAAGTAATTTATTATCAGGACAAAGTATTGTAGAAAAGAATCAGTTGACCAAAACCACTTTCTTGATAGTGTGGTGATGGAGTTCCACATAAGATACATCTTCTTTTCTCTGAAATAACTTTTCTGACAAGCAGTACATGATGAAAGCACAAAAAATATGATAAGACTGTCCTTTTCCATGTTCTTTAGACAGTTTAAGACCTATTACAAAATACTTGCATGCATTATAACAAGTTTATTCATTTATTTTAGTAAAACTATGACCCTTTGTTTGAGCTTAATTAAGTAGGTAAATCTTAACCATTAATTGTAATGCCAGACTTCATTTCTTTCTGTGCATGCTGAACAATATTTGTGTGTTTGTAAATATTTATAGATAATAGTCTATTATTTTTTCATTATGCAGAATTTCCTATTGGTGTGTCTGCATTTATACCTTGTTTAGCCTAACAGAGCAATTTGTAAGAAGTGTAATCAACTGTCAGCAATGAATCAATATTAATCTATAATTAGTGAAATGCATAATGGAAATATGTTTGACTATATCTTATATAAATGCAGGGAAGCAAGTCACTCTTTTTATTTTATTTTACTTATTTTTGCATTTTATGGGATGGAAAATTTATCTTTGAAAGTTATCTAGTTCAGACACATAAACAGCTTTTGCTGAAGTATCTGGTTAGGTTACTCAGGGAGGGAGTGCTCCTCATGAGGATGACATATTTGATCGGTCATATGACAATAACTTGCATTCCTTTAGTGGTTGAATTGTATGCTTGTTTATACTGACAAGTAATGGTAATTATTTCTGTGTATTCCTGGTGTAAGTTCATCATAACTTAGGAAGGTGTGCTTTGAAAGGGTTGAAGAACGGTTTTCCAATTTAACTGCTATTTTTTGGCAGCAGGTAGGTAAGTAGGTGATGCATTTTACCTTTTTATTTTCATACCTGATTTGTTGCAAAACTGTGATTATGTTTACAATCTAAACAGCTACTGGTACTGCAAGTCTTTCTAGCATAATCAGCCTTCAACATAAACTTGTATAACAGGGTATGTGGTATTTTACAAATGCAGATCAGATGGTTAGATTCTCAGTGAATACTACTTTCCACTCATATGTTGTTATTTTACAGTTTGTTAAAGTATATGGTTCTTTCTTGATACATAGATTTACTATATCTTTTGGAGCAACTTGTTTTTCTTTTTATACTAGGTGGATTTGCTATGTTATATTTGCATTTACTTTGTGGTATGATGACTCTCTGCCCCTTATCATCATCCTTCCTTCCTTTTCCTATAAGCCTGTTCTAAATACCTTAGATGTGGAGGTGAAATGTGGTACACATTCAGTTTTATAGCATTTGGGGGATAAGGAAAGCCAGTACAGTAGACACCACCACAGCAAACCCAGTTGCCCATCCACTGCAGATGATGATGACTGTTGTATGTATGAAAAGTGACAAGAGTACAGTTATTTTACTCTGGCTTGCCATAAATTAGATTTGTATTCAACCTTGCTCCAGATATTTTGTTTGCTTTGTTATAGATATCATCTTTTTTTTCTTCCATAGGCCAGCTAATACATCTAGTCACATCATGCTGATGATGTAATATGTAGCAGCTCTTCATGCCTCATTATTTTTATAAACTTGAAATATGAAAAGCCATTTTTTCCAGATAACAGTGATATATTAGTGGTACCCTTTTGAAAAATGGTTTGGTTTCATATTTTTACATTTTTATTAAGATAGCCATGGATTATTTTTTTCCCCTTCACAAATCCATACACCAAATAAGTAAGATCTGTGTGAGAAGTGAATTAATATTGCACTTTCCCCGAGTATATATAACTGTTACTCTATTGTCAGTTGTAGTTGAGTTCCATGTAAAGTAATTGGCATGAAATAGCCTTTCAGGTGGTTGATTATATTTATTGATTATATATGTATGTTTTATTCTTTTTAGTATATCAGTATGCAACATTACCAATAGTAACTAGGTGCTTCCATGCTTATGTGAATTTCTTCCATTGGTTACATGTATCCAAGATTTGTCAATCTGCCATTAGTACAATTTCATACCTGAACCAAGAACCTATAACATTTGCAATAAGACTGCATTTCTGTATATATTTCATTACTCTATACAAAATTAAACTGCATGCAAGATGAGTTTAGTTTGAGAATATAAAGCAGTTTTTATATGTGATGGGTGATTGCAAGTCTCACAGAGGTAAAGCTTATGTAAGTTTTACTCGGATCATTAACTTTTTAATTGCTTCCTGCCACAAAAATATTTAAAGCAATAATATTTTGAGGTAAGATGATGTATATAATGAGGAGAGAATATGTGAATTATTATGATATTGAGATGGCTAAGGATTTTAATATTTATGTAAAGTCATGTAAATGTGGATTGTATAATGACTGAAGTTGTTCAAGGCTATTATCAGCATTTTGCATTCAGATGCAGTTGTGTTAGTAAATAGCTGGAGAGATATAACATTACAAGGCAAAGAACTTAATTGAACAGACAAAATTAAACCTGTTTTATAAGATCTAACCATGACTGCTTTTAAATCAATTAAAGAATTCAGATACAAATCCATGTCTGTTATTGCAGTTAGATTTACTGCTCAAAAATGAAAACTATGTCATTAGATAACTGTGTATGACAAATATGTTCAGCATACATTATAAAGAAGTACTGTAAGAAGCTTGCATTTGCTTAAATTTTTGGCCTCATATGTGAACATTGGCAATGCCTCTTTGCTAGATTTTTAGATATTTGATTTATCATTATATATTCTGTATTTACAGTACCTTCCATGAATACAATGCATGTAAGTGAGCACATAATTGAATGCATGTGTTGTATGTGCAAGCATGTGCGTATATGAATAGGAATGTTCATGCTCTTGTATGTCTGTGTCTGTGCATTAGTATGTTTATGAGCTTACGTGTTTATTTTTCTTACGTTGCCCGACTTGGTAAATGTCTTGAACAACTTTCTTGGAACTGAACCATTTCTAGTTACAATTACAATCCAGGTGAATTCTGTTTAAACCAAAAATTTACTCAATCTGCGAAAGAGAGTCAATCTGAAAGACATCAGTGTGATGTAGTAGTATGATATATAAATATTTTTTTTGTTTTATTTGTGCTTAACTCGTGGAGTAGTTCCCCTTTTTGATCCCACCGACTGGTGTACAGTACAGTAAATGACTTTTGTCCTTTTTCTTTTTTCTTTTTTTCTTTCATCCCCTTTAAGAAAAAGATTCAGGGCATCATCTGAAAATAAAAGAACTGAACACAGCCTAAGCTATACCTCATACTCCATGGGTTAATTGATATTCATGTACATCATGAAATGTATTGAAAGTTTTTCGTAGCTACAATGCATCCAAAAACTGCTCTACAATTGGGATATTTAGACAATATTACAATGTGTCAGGCACATCATCATTTTAAAGCTGATGCATTTGTGGTAGACAAATGGTAGCAGAATAGAAATGTTCATTCTTGTATTTTATTAAATTCATTCACAGATAGCTGTAATTAAGTAGTTTAAGAATCTAGTTGGATTAAATTCATTGTCAAGGGAGGAAAAAAGCTTTTGGCCATTATGTATCTCCATTATGTTCATTAAGATGCATATTAGCTCTTATATATTACACTATTTTCTCTCTCTGGATGTAATGCTCAAATACTGTTAAGAGGATACATTGTCCAGATTATCCATGTTTCAAAAACCTGCATAGATAGTAAAACTGTAATGAAGCTGCAAAGCATACTTTATATTCAGCATTGTGTATTATTATTTACTTTTGATGTTGTACATATATCGTGAGGGAAACACTACCTTCATGAGTCACAAATAATTATGCCTTCTTTTTCTGCTGCTTCACAATCAGTTCAAATTTTGGGCAGTGATAACTTTTGAATGTTTTTGTAGTGTTGTTTGTTGTAAGCATTGTTTGTTTATTTTTTTGTTTTTTACTGCTTGGTTTTAAGTTGTTATCATTTAAGAGTAATACGGACATATTTGTAGATGAAGTTCCACTGTGGAACAGATATCTCCATATTTTTAGGTTGAAGAAGACTTGATTTGTTTATAACCTCTTGAGGGTTGAATAAAGTCAGTTACACATTTACTATTATGGTATTCTAAAAGCAGCATCATTACTGTATTTTTTAAGATTTTATTATTGTAGCCAGTGTTTGGAAATCGTTAAACAGCGTTGTGACATTGGCCGTCCCTATTTAGAAAGAGGAAGCTATAAGCTGATATTTTGTTACTTTTCATTAATTGTTTTGATTGTATCTTTTATATCAATTGATTATGCATGTGGAGATGCATGTTTGTAAAAGGGAGTGTAAGGTTATAAGCATGTGTGTATTATGCTCTTTTGCTTAATCAGGGAAACTTGTTACTATTTTCGTAGATCACATGTTATAAGGAAGCAAACACATTTTCTTTCTTTCTTTTCAGCATCTTTAAAGTTTTTCATTTTGTTTGCCTAGATATTACTTTACAAAGGTCATTTTTTGATTACTGTTTTACTCAAAGAAAGTATAGAGGTAATAAGTAATGAATGAAGTAGACTCATCATTAGGACTATAAGAATTTCCAATTAAAAAGATCCTTAATTTTCCTATTTAGAAGAGTACAGTTTATCTGTGTCCTCATGTATATCAATCCTCTTCAGTAACCCTTTTTTAAGAAGAGAATCTTGTTGCAATCTGTCGTATCATCAGTATTTCACGATGTTTCCAGCCTATCTGATATCTGATTATGCGCACACTAAGTAGCAACCACTAACCCATAAACTGTCGTATAACTCTTCAGCAGCTGTCCATCAAAATGCTGTATCGTAAGAGCATTCTTTTTAAATGATGCTCACAAATATCCTTATTGAGTTACAGCCTTATGTTTTTTCATATTGATAGTAGAACCTGTCTTTAGTAGTTGGCATCATCATCTTTCTTTGTAATGTCAGTGTTTCCTTCGCTGTGATCATGAAAAGACTAGCAGTACTGCCAAGTAAGTGCAAAACAGGCACTTTGCAGTTTATGGGTTAAACATCCATTTTCATTTTGATGCATGTTAAGGCACTCTTCTTTTCTTACTACTGCACTAGGTATTTGTAAGTTTGTAAAAGACAAGGACTGTAGTTTGCTGTAGTAAGTGATATGAAACAAATATGTGCAAGTGACTCTACTGCTACATATTTACTAAATGTAATCTTGGTAAAGAAAATTCAGTTGTTGAAAATGATGGATGATATAAGATATAAACAGATTTAAATGATATAAATGTACAGTAACTAAATATTTTATACATCAAGTTAACTTTGTAAATTTTGATTTGTGATTTTTGATGGTAACCTCTTGAAGTAGAAACCTTCATGAAGTAGAATTCAACATTCTCAAAGGAAATGATAGTTATTTGCCAAGCAGTATGTTCGAATTATATTCTTGATGTGAGTGTAACTGCTATAGTGATAGGAAGTTTTTATCTCTTATGATTCCGTGCACAAGAAAGAAGACATTCCTGCATGAGGTTGATTTTGTTTATTAGTCAGAGTTGATTTATTTTCCATGTTTGAAGTTATTCCTGATTATCATTTTGATAAGGATTTTTTTTTTTTTTTTTTTTTTTTTTTTTTTTCTTTTTTTGCATGTTTCATGTAAATACATTTTTATCTGCTACTGTATAGTTAATCATCATGTTCAACTTGTATAGCCAAGAAATTTTTCCCCCCTCTGGACCCTTGGTTCTGTGCATGTCCTTGTGTCATTCCCAAGGTAGCTATAACTATTTTCAGCCAATATTGTTATTGTACAATTCTGTGGACACCCTGTATAGTTAAACCAGTTGTAATATGATATGATTATGTATTGAACACTACATGTCCAGTAAATAGGCAGAATGAGATGACAATATGCGTATTTGATCATCAGATAAGTACATAGGAAGCTTCAGTCTTTTTATATGAAAGAAATAATGGATTCTGTGACTCCCTGCAAGAAATCTCATTATGTTTAGGATTAAAGGTGTGCATATATATTTCACAGATATTGGCAGTTACATTGCCTGGGGGTACCAACTTCTTGATGTTCAATGTCAACACAAAAAAAGATCACTTCAATAAGGTACATATATAGTAAATATCCTGCAAACTCTTTTATTAGTGTGTGTAGTACTTGTATTTTTGTTAAAAGGGAAAGATATTGTAATTTATAAACTCATTCCATATTAATACATATTCCTTATAGTTTTATTTATTTAGCATTGTATTTTTTTGATACTGTTGCATTTGTAACACAGATATAATGTTTTAAGACATATATTTCGTATTAGATACTTTATAGGTTTTATCTGTTTATTGAGAGTGGTATAATGAAAAGATGTGTTGTCCTCTGACCCAGTGCTCTAATCCTTGTATTGGCGACCCTCTTCTCACATGCATTTTTTTCCCTCTTGCTGATTTTTTTCAGTGACAAGAAGGTGAAATGGCCACAATGCAAAATAGAGAATTATGTCAGTGGTATTCTTTTGACCTTGATATTTTACTGTGAGCTATAAAATGCATTACATTCCAGTTATGTGTAAGGTGTGATATTTAATTTCATTTGTTATATTCCTCATGACATAAGGGAAGTTGAGATCTGGTATTTATCTTTGTTTCTAGAGTTCCTATGAATTTGTATTTCATCTTGTCAGTAATTTTTTGTTATAACTCATTAGATGTTTTATTTGATTATACTATTTTCTTTGCAGTAGTTGCATATAGCTAGACCTCTTTGGTGTAAATGAGCATAGTTGATTCATATATCTAGACTTTCATTAAGCCATTTTCACTGCCTAAAAACTGCTTGTGTTCAAAATGATGTGTCAACAAATTTTTCATTGTGGAATGTAGTAGCTCAACAGTATAGTAATGCTAAAGAATAGTAATAGTAATACTCTTGGCTAGAGACTAGCATATGGGCAAATAATGCAGATTGATAGATCTGTTTTGATTTGTATCAATATCATGATTTTGGGTGTTAACATTTGTATTGGAATTTCAGTGTATTAACATTGTCATCCTAAGGACAAAATAAGTCATAGTAATTTTTTAAAAAACATGGTTAAATTCTGGTACTGCATACTCTACCAGGTGAAAGAAATATGCATTAATGACAATAGTAATTGTAGTATTAGGATAAACAACTGCTGCAGAAAGGGATGAGATCATTCATATTGTGGGTTGTGAAAAAGAGGAGACATTAAGAATTGAAAGATGATTGTCCTTTGTTTCTGTTTTTCTAAAAGGTTTAATAGGCTACATTTTATTGATACCCAATTCATTTTTAGGGTTATTAAGATATGTGTTCTGCTTACATTTTATAAGCAAATAAAGGTACCAAGCTTAGCAAAATCTCAAAGAAATTGGTACTACGCTTGAAAGATGTATTTGTAAAATCTACTTCTTTATTTGCTATGTAGGGAGAAGGGTAATATTTTTAAAGGTATGTAC